TTTATAGAAATTAAATGGTGTAGAGTTTATTTATAGTTTTAGTGCTAAGATAGGTATATAACTAAATATCTCAAAATAAAATAATAAACTCACCACTTTTCAAGGTAGCATAAATGTAGGCTAAAATCTCTCCATCTCCTCCAATCTTATTTATTCTCACGTTTTGAGTTTGAAATTTTTTTTATTCAATTTTTTTTCCTTTATCTGAAAACAAAGTTATGAGTTGATCTCCAAACACGCAAGGATCTATTCCAGATTTTTCCACTCCAACACTTCATACAATTTTCGCTAAATATTTTGGAGATTGTTTGAACATCTTAATTGTTAATTGTGCTAAGAAGCTATGGATACTTTTTGTTGCAGTTAGATGCTAAACTGTTTGAGAATGAACTTGAACTTCTCATGGGAAAAGACATAAAGAAATCCACAAATGTAAGAAGAAAAAGAAATTCGAATAGAAACTAGTCCAAGGATTTAGAGACTCAAAGCTCAAGAATAACAAAAGAACCAACATACAAGACTGCAAGATAAACCTCTCCAAATTTTGGAGCAAGATAGAGAGAGACAATAGTTGAACCAAACCCCAAACGAAAAAAAAAAAAAGGATCAGAAAAAAAAATTCGTACTTAGAGAATTAGATCATACCATTTATTTATTATATTGATTGAAATCTTAGGGGGAAAAAATTAATGGCTAACATGTGAAATATGGGAGGGAGAAGAGCTACTTCTTGTTTAGTGCTGGTAGTGATAAAGAAATTGTCAAAGGCAGAAAGAAGATTTGGAAGAAGAGGAAAAAACAGAAATAAAGGCATGAAGAAAGAAGATGACGTGAGAGAAAATGTTAATGCTTTTGGGAAGTTGGGAAAACATAAATGAAGAGAGATAAAATATTATAGTAAGTTAACTAAAATTAATTTAAACAAATAATTATTTAAAAAAAAAGAATTAATTTGTTTAATCTTAACCATTCATTGTAGCCTAATCTAATGGTGTAAAAATTGTGTCAAAACTTGTGTCAAATTTGCGGTGCCATGGATCCACCTCCTATATATATATATATATATATATATATATATATACACATATAAAAGAACACAAACAAAAAATTTACACAAATATCTTAA